GCAGGTCGGGCGGGGCGCGCTGAAGCCGGTGCTGCGCAGCAGCCCGGCCTTCGCGGTGGAAGTCTTCCGCTTCAAGGACTCGCTGGCCGAGGACCTGCGGAAGGCGGACCTGGTCATCAGCCACGCAGGTAGAGCCCCGTTTATTTGCCGAGCCTGTTCTCCTGGGGGCAGGAGTGGAAGTCGGTTGGATGAAGTCTGTCTCTCTACGGCTCGGGGCTGGGCTAGCGTTCAGGTCCACAGCTAGAGCTCGATGGTTAAATGTACACCTTCAGGAGTCTCCCGTGTTTCAAGAGCAAGTAGGATGATACTTCATCTGTCAGGGCAAAAACTCCTCGTGTTTTCTCTTCTGTAGGTGCAGGCAGCTGTCTGGAGACTCTAGAAGAAGGAAAACCACTAATAGTAGTAATAAACGAAAAGCTGATGAACAACCATCAGCTCGAACTGGCACAACAGCTCCACAGAGATGGGCACGTCCTCTGCTGTAATTGCAGGTATGGAGCTGCTGTGGATGTCCTGTTAGTGACACGCCACTAACAAGCAGTGTTCAGCACCATCACTGTGTTACTACAGTATTGAGAATGTAACAACAAAATTTACATCCTTCTCTGTAACGACCATTTGTTTGCAAGGTAGATTTTTCACAGTGGATAGATTAACATTAGGTGCTAATTTACCAAACTTACTAAGCCTTTTGACCATGACTCCTTTTAATTTTTTTCTTTTTTTTTGAGGACACATGTATTCAGACTGGAAGAAGAGCAATTTAAACCAAATAGAAGTGGTTGAATTTGAAAGAGTCAGGTAGCATCCCAGAGACACCTAACAGCTTCTTTCTCACTAGTTGTTTGATTCTTTTTTGAAGTTTAGAAATAATGCAACCCAGACCATCAGTTTGTAATCATGAGCCATGAGGAATAAATTGCTCCCTGCAGACTTAAGACTCCATTTCATCATTTTGCTATGTGGATTTTCCTTGTAAAGGGCACTAAAGTTGACTGTGTAGATGTACTGACATAATAAAATTGAAAGTATCTGGAGTATTTAGAACAAAACATAAGAATGGCCTTGCTGATACGGATCAGGAGTCCATGTAGCTCAATATCCTATTTGCAGTGGCCATATGCAGATGTCCAGCCAAAAGTAGAAATGGGGCAAGAACATATGGTACTTCCCTTGTATTACTTTCCCTCTAATGCTCTTAAGTACTTTGATTCAGGGGGATTCCTAAATGAGATGCTGTCTGGTTAGTAACTTTCAATACCTCTGCCTTCCAAGTGCTTATTCAGCAGCCTTTTAACCGAACTTCCTGAACCCACCACATTCTCTGACAATGAGTTTCACAGATCTACTGCCTGTCACTTCAGGGGGAAAAAAACCTCCACCAAATAAACACACACACCCCAAAAACAACAACAACAACAAAAAAACCAGCTCCCTTTGTTTGTGTTCATCCTGGCTCCTGTTAGTTTCATTTGCTCTCTTGACTGTATCTTACTGTTTTCTCTTTATTTATGATTATTTATGATTGATTGCGCTCTGTAAATAACAGATGACCTCTAAATTGAAGGCAGAGGAAATGCAACTCCCATTATTTAGTCTGCAAACCCCACCAAATAAACACACACCCCCCAAAAACAACAACAACAAAAAAAAAACCAGCTCCCTTTGTTTGTGTTCATCCTGGCTCCTGTTAGTTTCATTTGCTCTCTTGACTGTATCTTACTGTTTTCTCTTTATTTATGATTATTTATGATTGATTGCGCTCTGTAAATAACAGATGACCTCTAAATTGAAGGCAGAGGAAATGCAACTCCCATTATTTAGTCTGCGTCTTGTTCCTTTGCCCTGCAAATAGGATTTCGTATGTTTCAGAAGAGCCTTCTGAAAAGACTAGGCCTGTCATTCATTTATGTTGGGCAAGTTTCTTAAACTTATCATCTCAGTGCTTCTGACAGCTTCGGAGACAGGAAGGAATTTTTATTTCTTTTTGTTGAACAGTGCCTAGCATTTGAGCCTTATTTGCAGTCTGATAATAGCAAGCTAACAGATTGATTTAGCTGTTCTTTCTGGCTATGTGTTAAGTGCAGAACTATGCCATGTATTCAAATAGGATGAATTTCCTGGTACGGTTTATGGCGAAGATCCTCAGATCTTGTTCAGTCTCCCAACATGGCAACCACAGAAGATTAAACAGTTAAGAGCTGAGGTGGTCTGAAAGCTGTGGTATAGGTCAAAGCGTGTTCTCGGCAATGCTGCCTACAAGCCAGTGATGGTTGGGGCCCGCTGGTTTGTGGGGTCTCCCTTTCAATACCTGTCCTTATTTTTGTTTTCTGTGCTAAAGGATTACGTATGTATGAATAGAAAGAAAATTGGGTGAAGAAAAAATTTCCCTTTGGGATGGATTTTTTTTTTTTTTTTTTTTAATTTTTGGTTTTGGTCTGTTTTTACAGCACTCTTGTGGAGACACTGCGGTCGATGGACTTGTCAACTTTGAAACCTTTTCCTCCTGGACAGCCAGAAAAGTTTGCTTTGTTCTTGGATAAAGTTGTGGGGTTTCAATAAACAATACAGAGGAATAAAAATGTCAGAATAAAACCTTTCTCCTCTCCTAGTGAGGCCTTCCATACTTAAGAGTCCACCAACTGGGACAAACCCTCAAGAAAATGTCTGTTAATATTAACTGACACTAAACGGTTTACTATTTAGTGCCAGTTTAAAGTCATCTAGCTTTATGCTTAAAAGAGCACAGTGCCAACGGGGGGGGGGAGTATGAACTGTCTGGTTTCTCGGACAGCCAGATATTTACATCACAAAATCTTCACTGAGTTGGTAATTCCAGTGAGGAGGAGAAGCTAAATTACTTTTTAACAGGCATGTCATATACATAGTGGTCTCTTGACCATATTTGCCTAGTGCTAGTGGAAATAAGTTGTCCGTCTTGATGTTCCGGTGATGTTCTGCAAATAAGCAGATGCCTTCAGCTCTCATTTCATGTGTTTACAGAAACAGTTTGGTTTCAGTGTGTTCACTGAAAAGGGAATTTTAAAAGTGAGAGATTTAAGCCCCTTTAAAGAGAAAGGAGCATGTGGTGAATCTGGGTGGGAAAAGTCAAGAGCTGCAAACCTGTCAAACTGCCCACCGACTGACTTGCCTGGTTTGGGGTGATTTGCTCCCAAAGTAAAACATGGCCTATAGGAGAGGAAGGGGGTTGACAATACAATCAATCCATTTACACAGTGTTATCCCATCATTACTTAGTTTGGACTTCCGTAAAGTGCGATGTGTCCTGTTTGATGCTGATTGGAGCTCCCCATTTAAAGTATTGAAATTGTCGACTGTGTTGATGCCACCATCAATTTGTTTAAGTAAATATTTTGAAAAACAAAGGGGGTTTAAACTTTAAAATGTTCATGCAGGCTATTTGGGCTGTAATACTCTAGAATTGTGGAAGTGCATAGCTGGTGCTAATTGCCCTTCCTGCAAGTACATTATTTGCTTGGGGTTTTTTTGTTGCTGTTGCTTAAAACAAGAAAAAGAAACTCCTGAATCGGTGCATCTGATGTCCGAGTGCAATTTTTACTAGCAAGTTAAATGTACGTAGAGGCATTCTCCTAATCAAATCAAGCACAAGGGCTATGCGTGGAATAAATCATGCTGCAGTTGTGCGAGAGTGATTTTTGCCGATCCCCCAAGTTTTCCCCAAATAATTTATTAGGAGCAACTAAGATTTTCACTTCCTTAACGATTTTTGTAGAGCTGTTCTTATTTCAAGTTTACCGCTAGCAGCTTATCTCGGTCGAGAGCACGCAGGAATGTCACAGGAAATGCTGAATAACCATTTGACCGATTTTTCCACTAGTTATTTGCAGTCACAGGCACATCAAGCAATGAAGTTGGAAGGAGTTAGCTTAGCAAGGACTTCCCTGCTCTTCCCGAGGCAGGTCCGGGAGGAGACGACGTCCGCTGGGGCTTACCGCGGTTTGGCGTGCACACCCACGCCGAGAGCTGGGGGGGCTGGAGGAAAACGACCCCGCCGCGCTCGGACAGCCCCTGCAGCCGTTAAGCGGGAGAGCGGGAGAGGTATTTTGGGGCTCTTCGCGGGCATCTTAAAATGGCTGCTGCAGGAGGCACCTCCGGCGGGCGGTCCGCGGGCTCACCGGGAGGGCACCGCTCGCAGCTGCCTTTCGGGCGGCTCGCAGGCGAAGGGAAGCGGGCCCAGCTGCGCCGGGACGGGGGCGAGTCGGGCTTGGGGGCGCGCTCCGTGAGGGGCAGCGCCCGGCGC